AAATTAAAAAGTGTGGTGTGCTACTGATCTAAAAGCAAAGTTTAACTACAATGCAAGAGATTTAAAGTCCCACTTTAACCAGTTCACACCATGTACACCAGTGTATTGCCAGTGTTGTGAATATCAGTCCAGTTAAATCCTATGACATTTACTAAGCAGCATATCCTTCAGCAGAAACACTATCAAGCACCGTATGACTAAGAGTAACTCGTACCTTTTTTTAAAATTTTACATTTATTACTCTTGAACTAGATGGAAATCTGTGAGCAGGTTCTCTTATTTCAGAATCCTAAAATCATTTCACACAAACTGGGTCACACAAGTCAAAGGCAGACGAAACCTGAAGATGGACATGCCTTTATTTAACGCTGAGTAGTCTCTACACAAAACAAACAAGCCATTTATACAGATGAAACGTCGTCGACAGCAACGGGAGCGCCGTCCTCCAAACGACACACGAGACAGCACAATGCAACAAGCAGTCATTAAATTACAAACTGAGTAAAAACACGACCAGAGCAATCCAGGTGGAAACTTGCCATTCGCTTATTTGAAACAGTCTCCAGGCTCTTGATGCATCACAGGTTTCTCTTGAAAACTGAAAACTCTGGTGCTTCCACAAAGCAAAGATAAATATTGACAAAGACATGAATATTCATATAAGTCAACTTATAAACCTGTACGAAGGATGTATGGAATGATGAAGGCATGGTGCTAACCTATGCACGCACCAGAATTGTGCATCCTTTCAAACGCTGGTAATGAGCCAATTTATAATAGATGAATCTGGGGGGTGGGGGGGTTGGACGAAGGGTTCGGGCCACCATCAGGTGCTTCTACAGAGGGACATCGATCCTTGCCCACCTAATTATTTGAGGTTACGGGTAAGGACGTCAAAAACAGCCCAAACACACACTCGGGAACGGTGTGTGTTTGGGCTTCTCCGAGAGTGACACGCTGGTGGGGCCCAATAGAAACATTAGCAGAGTAACCCCGCTGTTCAGCAGGCAGCTTTCACATCAGACTCCTTCAGCCAGAGCAGAAGACGCGCACATCTTCAGCCCTGACCATCTCCATTTACCTCGTAGCTCCCAGTCACACCGAGAGTTTTACATGTTCAGGTGCTCCTGAGAAATAAATGCCCTGTAAAGGGAGGGGCTAGAGGTGTAGTAGGGGAGTCTAACGTGAGAGCAGCCTGCTAAACGAGCAGGGTTTAACCTCAGCAACCGGACTGTGTGATGTCTCCACCAGAGCTCCTGGTCACATCCAGAGTGGTAAAGACCTAGAAGGTAAAGAGGACACAGGAACATAATTAACATCTTTAATGCCACAGGCATATTCTCATTGGTTGAAAAGGGATTGTTCTTAGTTCTGTGTGTTTGTTTAGTCATCTACAGCCAAACATGAAACTTCACACCAGGCTGTCACATTGGGCTAAACCGTCAGAAAATAGAAATACGATGTAAACCCATCAAACAAGAGGATCCTCAGCAGCCTAATGCACTGCCATTAGCACCAGTACGATTAACATAATGAATAATCATGTCCCCTAATTACACCAATTATTCCCCAAGCGTGCATCACCACACACACACACAATATTCAAACAATTCAGACACTGATTGTTTAAGATCTACCACGATGAACATCCTGTTCCAGGCCAAGATAAAAGTGTGAGACCACTAAAGACAGACAT